AACTAGCACAGTAATTTAACTCCAGGAAGAAATTAGAGCCTATAGAGTGTCTGTTGTACTCGCAGCCGTTTTTCTGGGTGTGCAGTGCATGAATAGCGCCATAGAAAACGCGTAAAGTGCACTGCAATGATTTTTTTACGGATGAAACGGAAAGCAATACGCTCCAGATTTGCCAGTGTGTTTATGCGTTTTCTGCACAGTTTTCTTCCCACTAGTGCTTGTTACTAGACAACACTTTTTTCGAGCAGATAATTCTAGTTAAATAAACAGAAATAAATAGAAAATTCAGATTTGCTATTAACTTCTTTTTTTGCTGACGGTGTTAAGATGTTACCACCAAATTGCACGTGTCAGTAAGTGAAATTTCAATAGAACGTAGAAAAAAACGGTACTTGTGCACCACAGTGAGTTTTGCTGCTCGCATTCAAAGCAGCAAACAAGTGCAATATGTGCAGCCCAGATGAACCGAGTTTTAGTAACTGCCCTTCAAAAATTCAAAAATGAACGCATAATAACAGCTGACCGTTCCAGCACAATGAAACAGTGAGCGCAGCTGGAGGGAGTCAAGAAGTGCAGACTGGAGAATAAGTGAACGAAGGTTTGCAGGGCGATAGTCAGAATCATCCTGAGAGTTTGCTTGAGAAATGGCTTGATTCATTGAAGGCAGCAATCGAGAGCCTGGAGGGTCGAGTGGGACTGCAGGAGCTGTCGATACAGGTGCGACAACGTCTTGAAGAAATAATGCGGTCATTTGAGGTAATCGTGCTACTGCTGCTATTGCTGGTGCTGTATGCTCGAAAGCACACTTTATTATGAGTTTTTGCAAATACGCAAATTTCAACCCAGGCTGGAACACACCACGCAGGCCCGTGCTAAGTCGCGTTTTTGCATCGGAAATTAACGGAATGAATGGTCGTTGCTTTACACCTACCTTATGTCTAAATCACCATAAATCAGCATAAATCACCGTAAATTTTGCATTAAAAGAATGTAGATTTCCACTTAACGGTCGTTCTCTAAAAGTAATCTAGCTATTCAGTGAGAAATTTTTCCGCCAAAACTTTTAAGTATCCGTACGTAAGAACCACGCATTCCTCAAGGCTGAATTTGAAATACTTAAGTTGTAATTGGGCAGGAAACATTATTCTAAAATTTCAGCCCTCCAGCTTTTCTGACTGCCGAGTTAGTAATTTTCCCGCGAAAGTTTTCATACCTCCTTATGCGTATACCACGCGTAGCTTACGGCTGAATTTGAAATATTTGAGTTATAGTTCGATAGGGGACGTTCCCTTGAAATTTCATCTTTCTTGCTTTCCTGGTTCCAGAGCTAGCAGTTTTTCTGCTAATGCTTTCATACGCCCTTATATGAGTCCACACATACCTGGGCGTTAAATTTGAAATCTTTAGCTAGCACAAACACAGGGAATATCCCTACAAAGTTTCAGCCCCCCAAAGCTCGTGTGGTCCCTGAGATCGCATTACCACCAAAAAATCTGCATATTTCTTTAAACCGTCTGTACACGGCACCCAGGATTCAGCGGGAGATGAAATTAACAAATAGCAACGCGCACCAGACTAGCCGGTGCAATCATGCGCTTTGTGCAATTCAGCACATCGAACGATTGCCTATTAATGATTTTCACTGCTTGTACTTTAGCCTGTGCAAAAATTGTTCAAACATTGGAAAAGAGTTAAAAATTTCACGCAACAGCGCATGAAAGCTGAATTCTAAACCTTGAAGGGCGAATACCTTTCCATGATTTCCGAGTTAATAATTTACCCGCCAAAACTTTCACGAGGCCGTAGGTGATACTACCGAGCGCGGGAACACTGAATTTGAATGGGCAAGGCTGAGCGTGGGCAGTGGGTCATTACCCTAAAATTTCAGACTCCTAGACTCCTTGGCTCCCGAGATATTAATTTACCCGTAAGAAACTTTCACGGGGCCGTACGCGTTACCCGCAGGTACGAGGAAGCTGAATTTAAATTTGCGGGGTCACACGTGGGTGGAGAACGTTCCCCTAAATTTTCAGCTTCCTTGCTTTTGTGGTTCCCGAGTTGAAATTTGCGGACAAGTTGCTACGAACACACACAAACACACACAGAAACCCCGTGATAGTATGCGTTTTGTACTGCTCTTACACAGCACAAAACGCATTAAAAGGAGGGCCGCACAAGGCATTGGCACACATTCACAAAGTTTCAACCTTCTAGCTTTTCTAGTTCTCGAGCTGAAAGTGGGTGACAACAAGTGCGAAGATACAGACACACACACACACACACACACTCACGTAAATACCCACACAGACAGCCTCTTCTCAATACGCGTTTTTATATGTTTTTGCATATATGTAAATTGCAAAAACGCATATTGGGAAGAGGCTGTGTGTGTGT